AGAATAAATTAAAAAAAATTTTTTAGGAAAGAAGCTGCAAGGAGAACTCGTGCTCGCTGGTGTTCAGCTTTGAATACCACGCAGCCTTACAGTCGACCACTACCCCCAGGTCTGTGTGGTTCATTCTCAACAGACTCAGTTCCTTGCACAATCTTTTCAATGTCCTGCTACTTAATATTGTGGTGGTGATGAGCCAAAGGATGAAGTATCTCTTTGTTTTTGACACCTAAAGTGTAATTTAACAAGATGCTCCACGTTTCTCATTTCCACATTTTCTGATATCCCCCCTCTGAAATGAAATACAGCCCAAAAGTATTACTTTAATCTTGTGATATTATGACTTCTTTCTCGTAAAATTACCACTTGAGTCTTATAACATTCTCACTTTATTCTTGTAAAAGTGTTGTAATACAACTTTATGTTATGTTAGCTGTGTTATAGCAAATATTCATTTTGTACTACAGAAATGCTGCGCTACATGCAGTGGAAAGTGAGAGCTCTTTTATATTGAATATAAGCTGCCTTGTTGTTAACCTACAGATAGTAGGTGCTGAAGTCTACAGCCTCTGCATCCTGTGTTGGGGAAACTATGTTTCCTTCTGTATCATTCACTGACTCTTCTGGACCACTGTTTTAATCCAGGATTTTGAAACTGGCTGAAGGAGGGTTTCCTCCACTAAACCATGTTCCTCTGGTCAAAGAGTGTAAGGTGATGGAAAGCTGTTTGATTTATAATAATAATAATAGTATTATTATTATTATTATTATATTGTTGCCTCTTTGCCCTGAACAAAAGAAAGACTCTGTAAGTGGCTAAATTGTGTTGTGTATGTGCCATTGCATTGATATTTGCCTTGTATAATTATGTCTTAAGCCCTTTTCAGACGTCAACACTAGAGAATGTCAGAACATTTGGGCCAGGACTTTCTCCGGAGGTTTGTTAGTGGCCGTGAATAGAAAGAAATTTGGTGTAGATTACTCTGACTCATAAGAATCTGCTGAAATACTAGAATGTAAACTCAGAGGAAACCTTTCTGCAAGGCTGTCCACATTTAACTCATTTCACAGTTAGAGATTATTAATTTCAAGTGTTGCCGTCTGTTCAGTGGAATGTTTGAAGTATATTCATAAACACTGTGTCTTCGACCATTTGACAAAAGACGCATTTTTCTAAATAAAAAAATAAAATATATATCTGACTATTGCCTGTTTTTAACTTGAATGTATAATTTCGGTAAACATACAGTGATATACAGTCAACTAGACAACTAATGATCTCAAGTAAAGACTAACGGGAGAGATCTCCA